CCGCATAACACCTGCGTATGTCCGAATCTTTTTTCTTACCAAGTCAAACTTAAAACCATTATGCCTTAATCCCCGGAGAAATTCAAAGTAAGCCATTTCATCCGGCAAATTATGAATTTGGGCTTTTTCTTGGTTAAATCTCTAGACGTACGGCCATAGACCCTTATTTTTTCCTTGGAAAATTGTTGCCAAATTAAGACTTATCTTTCGAGGTGGTATGTTGTAAGAGAAATTTCCCACAAACAACAAACTAAGAGTAGTAAAGCAATTGATACAGCCGACTAGAAGGCTATTGAACCAATCCTGCGCCACACCCTTCAAAGTGGCCGGGAAGTATTTGCACCAGGTAGCATCATTTACACTTTATAAGTACATCAGCTTTCTGTACGAGGTGATATGTTCCTCGGGGTTTCCCGTGCCATCATAAGCTCCCACGAGTACACTTTTCACCTTCGGCGGCTGAGGAGCAGTTAAAATGTCTTGCGAAAATGGAGGTGGCTTATCTCCAAGAGTCAGTAACCGCATCTGCCAATCAATTGGCTAAGGTTGCACAGGTTGTCCGGCCAAATAGGGAGTTTGGCCGAACGTCTGACCGAACGGCCCATATTGTCCGAAGACTTGGGGGCTCGGCTGCAGAATGCCTTTAAGACCCTGAGGGAGCTGATACTGAAGCGATTGCACTGGAATAGGGGTTTGAGTACTGTAGACACCCATTTGTGTCTACCCAAAACCAAACCCAGTGATGAGTACCTTTCACATCGAATCATAATCGAATGAAGTGAAAGTGTGGAAAGTTAAGTGTTGCGGATAGTTTTAATTTCTTTTCTCTTCTCTCTGTTTTTGAAAACTTATTTCAAGAAAACAGCCAATCCAGTTTGGTTGGTCCATGATATGGGTCAAATAGTAGTGTAGTTGGATGGGGCTTGACAAGATCTTTCCAACGATATATTATAAGCCCAATTCCGATGAATATTGAGGAAGTTATGGCCAATTTACTGAACTGGGCCCGGTTTGAGCCTTATATGCGGCCCAATGATCTAGGGGAGGACCTAAAATAGATTTATCATTCCTAATGCAATTATTCTTCTAGAAGGTTCTTTTCATTCCTCATTCAATTAGCATTGATAAATTGACTTTTGTTGACTTTTCAGAGTTTTAATTAAAATCAAAGAGCATTTTCGAGGAAAATACGATTTTATCCTCCTTTACGGCAATTTTTATCTGATTTTAAGAAAACGCGTGAATTTCTGAATCAGCGCCAAACGCCAGCTGTGACGCCTGGCGCTAGCATTGGCGTCTGGCGCTGATGTTGGCGTCTGGCGCCAATAGCCAGCGTTGGCGCTAATCAGATTTTATCTGCGCCAGAACTCTGTTTTGATATTTTATCTTTTTTGCTGATTTTCTTTATAAATAACGTCGTAAAAACTCTGTTTTCATTCATCAACAATCATCAATTTTCATCTACAATCTACCAATTCTCATCAATTCTCTAATTTTCTCTTTCTCTTTTCTAAACTAGCTTCTCTCAAATACAAAATTCCGCATTCATTAGATCTAGATACACCTAGCCATATTTGAAGTTGCCTTCGCCCTAGACGTGAAAGGTTTAATTTCTGAGGTTTGGTCCCAAATCTCTCTTTCAATTATTTAATTTAATTGTTGTTTGATTTTATTATTTTCCTTGAAGTTACTAGCGTGTGTATTTTTGTTATTAGAAAGAGATACGAGGCATCAAAGTAAGTATTTTGATGGTTTCTATTGATATTATGTAGAAATCATGTTTAGATTGTTATTATGATATTCCTAGTATCATGTCTAGGGCAATTTCAATATTAAGTATGATTGTTATGATGCCTTTTATGTTCTTCCTAATATTTATGATTGTTAGTATCATGTTAGGGTTAAAGCTTTGATTTTTATTGTTTAGTGACATGCTAGGGTTTGTTATTAATCTTGTTAGTATCATGCCTAGGATCTTGCTAATATTATGCTTTAACATGATTATTATTTTGATTGATTATGTTGCTTGATGATTATTATTGTTATTGCTTGATCACGCCTTTTATGCATGTTTAAAGGGAATTGGTACTTGTAATCTCGCTTAATAAGATAATTAATAATCTTGTTTAGGCTTAATTTGATTATAATTCAAGTGATCGTCAATAATAGATTTATTTGTGCATTAATATTTCAACCAACATAAATAAACAGGTTTAGGGCTAAACCTATTGCTTGTATGTTAGTCAGAAAGCGCACATAAATACGATCAGAATAAAGTAGAGGCCTATTATTAGGACAGGGTCAATCTCTTTTAGGTTGGATTTGTACCTTCATCCCCGAACCCTATTTGGTTCAATACCTTATGGTGTTGACGATCCCTTGGGTCGTTAAGGGGTGTAACCTTCACCCTGTAAACGGTTTACAAGTTCCTAAAACTTGTTGGCGACTCTTTTGCTCTATCTTCTTTCCCTTTGGACGCCACCGTACTTTAGTATATGATCACAATGGGGTTCAAGCTAGGGGGTTAACGCTTGAAATATTCCCTACAAGTATGCATAGCTTGACTCCTGCTGGAGATGGCCGAGTTGCTATGCTGGGAAAAGGAGTAGTTGGAAAATTCATCCGGCATTGTGGGAGTTGAGGTCGTGTCCGAATAAGAGGCACGTTCCCGCTGCTTATGCCGGAGGTAGTCCCTTGCGTCCTTCCATCGTCTAGATGGCTCTGTCTCCTCTCTTCGAGGTCGTCTTCCCCTACCCTAGCCGACTGGGCTTTTGCCAACAGACTAGACAAATTCGTCCGTGGCACCCTAGGAGACCTTCCATTCGGTCGCCGAAATGGGGTGTTCCCAGCATCTGTCGCATTGGTTGCTTTATTTTTAGCTTTCTTTGCAGCTCTTTCTCCCTCCTTCCTAAGCGTTTTTCTAGAGGTGAAAGCTCGGTTGCTCTCAAACTCCTTCCGAAGTTTGTTGAGCGCGGCCTTTAGAGAGGCAGTGGTAATAGGAGGATTATCGGCCTCTTGAAATGAGGCGGTCAAAGGATCGCTGGTAAGGATTGTAGGGACTATGTCCTTTACATGGTCGTCCTCTCCTGGACGAGGGTCGAGATTAGGTGTCTGACCATCTATTGCCATAACGGACGAGTATCCCCACACACGGCGCCAAATATTTTGGGTGTTTTTTGGAATTCTTCGGGATACTGGTCGCGCTTTCCAGACAAAGAGATTTGGACACCTAAAAAATGATCGAATATTCTTTTATCAAAATATTCGCCTCCGACGATCAAGTTAGAGATCTGAAACGGAAAAGGCTAGAGAGAGAAAGTAGAGAGAAGTTGGAGCTATTTAATGCTCTTTTCTTGCAATGTCGTAATCCACCCCTCCCATCATAAATGATTAGGGTATTTATAGGGGTGGGAGTTTGTGCCCCTTTAGGGTTTGTACCCTAAAATTCAGTGATGTGATTTGCTGCGCAATCATGCGATGCCACGTGTAATATGGGGGCGCCGTTTTGCGGATTTCATGAAGATCTCTCGGGATTTGGGCCATGATGTAATAAGGCCTTTTTCAATGCTGATTTCAGAAGCCCTTTGTGCCTTGGGCACGCAACATCTTTCCATAGTGACACGTGTCACCCTTTGATTGGGCCACGTGTCGCTACGGGATTGGTCCACGTACATGGGGTATTTTTACCCTAAACACCCTAAGCATCAAATTCTATTAAATTATTAATGTAAACTAAACTAATAAAGAAAATTATAACATCCAAAAATTTAGGATTTAAAATGATCGATGGAGTTTAAAGCATCAAATATATATATATATATATATATATATATATATATATATATATATATATATATATATATATATATATATATATATATATATATATATATATATATATATATATATATAAACATCAGCGGGGTATGGGATTTGGATTCCTCTGGGTGATTTGGATTCCTCGGGGTATGGGATTTGTCATCAACTGGTCGATCAAAACATCAGCGCGGATCGCGAAGGTCTCAACTTGGAAAGATGCAAAGACATCGAAAATCATTGTTCTCGTCAAGCTTGAAGCGGTGGAGTATGAGCTATATATGCCAAATATGAAAATTAGTTATGATTTTGATTGTAAAAGTTATGATATTTTCTCTAAATCTGTGGTTTACAGATCTTTATTATTGTAGATATTGTATGACTATTATTTAATGATATTATTACTTCCCGTTCCACAAAAAACAAAACAAAAACAAATAAGATTTTTTTTTAAAAAAAAATTGTATTTAATTATGTACGAAAAGCTTACCATTATTGAAAAGAAATATCGCATAAGAGAGAATGAATAATAGTGTGTAAGAAAATAAATCTATTAACGGGTTAAATACATATTACCTAGATATTCATTTGGTTAATAGGAAGAAAATAATATAAATTTGTAGATTTTTTTTTTTTTGGGTGTTCCACCTGGTTCACCCTTTAGGCTAATACTATTCAGGAATCAGTTCTAGATGGTTAGGTTTCAACCCTTCTAATTATTGTTGCGGGATCGAACACTACAATCCTCCCTACCAAGTGAGTATCAATCACCATCATTGCACAAACAACCAATTGGTATATGTATATAATAATAATAGAAATTACCGTGCATGGCACGGGACATGACCTAGTTTTAATATATTTTATGCTTAAAGATGGTTTTACTGCATAAATATAAATTACTAAAAGTGAGTTAGTGTGTGAGCATGATTTTAGTTTGATAAGTCAATTATATGTGCATTGTTATAAGATTAGGGTATTTGGTGCATTTATTTATAAACCTTATGGATACATGGTATATTTGAAAGTTATCAGCGATATATGGTACATTTTTTAAAACATTAGGGATACACGGAATAATTTCAAAACAAAAAATAGCCAAAATATCAAAAACATAAAATTATGATAATTTTGAAAACTGACAACAAAAAAGTGAAAACACCTTTTTCTCTTTTCCTTTTTTGGTTTTTGGTTTTCAAAAAAAAAAAAAGAACTGAAAACCAAAATTGATGCCAAACAAACAAACCCGTAGCTTTCCCAACAACAAAAAATGTAGCATCGTCATCTGCACCATCCACGTAGCATCATCTTGATCAACGGCGTACCCAATGCACCCGAGTTGTAGTGGATTATTATAAGAACGGAGTCAACGGGCATAAAAACGAAATTCGACCGTTGGAGGCGTAAAATCCTCTTTGCTTATTTCGTAACGGATACTTTTTCTTTTTCCCTCTAACACCATCTTCTTCCCCAATTAACTCCCACAATAATATTCATCAACAATTTCTTGTACAATCAACAGCTTTTGATCAGTCTTATCCATCAAATTCTTGAAATAATTCATTGAAAAACCCATCAAAAATCTTGAAAAAAATCCATTCAAAAACCCATCAAAAATCATCGAAAAATTCTCATAATTTTTTGCTTCACTGCAATTACTGAGAGAAAAATCTGCAGGAAAAAAAAAGGGGGTAAAAGAAAGGATAAATGGATTTAGGCTGCTTGGATTTGGGTTGTATTTCTTTGTGTGATGAAAAACAGAACATAAATTCTTCTACTGAATCGCTTAGTAGTACCGATTCCATCGATTCTCTCTCCTCCAGTGCCAAGTTTTCCAAGGTATATTTTTATTTTATTTATTTATTTTAATTATCTGCAAAATTTGCAGAAAACCCCTTATTTTATTTTTATTTTTATTTTTATTTTTATTTGGAAGTGGGTTTATCTGTGTTTTTAGGGTATAATCTTGTTGTTTAGTGATTACTACTTCAATATCAACGCTTAATTATCAATTTTCTTTGTAGTAGTTGTCAGATTACAGTTCATTTTCAATTTTTGGGTTTATTGGTAGTTTTGATTTCTTACTTCAATCTTATGTATTAACAGAAGATCAATGAATATCAATTTAATGGTAAACGTTTTCCTGTAATTGCCCTACCAATTGATTTTTGTTCACTGCTACCTATAATAGTTTTAATAACCTGCAATCTTGGATTCATTTCTGTGGATAACATTAGGTTGGCTGTTGATGTTGAAAACTAGGAAAATTAGGGGCATTGTCATTATATTAATTACTTATTCCTGAATTAGATGTCACATTGTCACGACTTGTCTAACAAAAATCACTCTATAAAGTTGTGTCATTGTATTTTTTTCAATCAATGGAGTTTATATTACTTGTAATAAGGATTAGTTCCAAGGCAGGAATGTTTTGGCAATAACAAATGGCATTGGGAATTCTATCTGTTAGCATGCTCTTGGTATGGTCTTGTTACTGATCTTTGTTGATTTACTATGCAGAATAAATCACATAAAGATAAAGATAGCCCGCTTTCAGGTGGAATCGCGCTAAATCGAGTTTCATCTCAGATTAAGAAGCCATTACATCGAAAAACCTCCCCTCTAAATTGGTTTCCTCGTATTAAAGGGGATTCCTACATGAAGAGAAAAATTAAACTACTGCAGGTACCATTTCTGCATTTCAGTTGTTTGTTATGCCTTTGGTTTAGAGAGTAATTGTGCTGATGGACTTAATTATTGTGTTTCAGGAAACTGGAGGCATGAATGATACTCTTGATGAGACATTGGGTCACTCGAATCCTCATTACTGTCGAGTAGAACGAGAAAAAAGGGCAGCCAGAGAGGCGGCGTGTAAAGTAATGGAGGCGCGGAAAGCTGCTATGATTGAAGCATCCTGGTGCCGGATACTTCAAGCAGCAAGGTATGCTTCTGCAGTAATGTTGCTCAAGTTATTCACTCCTGTATAGAATTAATAGTCACATATTCTTCTTTTCTTTGAATGTCAGTTTACTAATCGATTAGGAGACAATAGAAATGGTACAACCTTTATAAAGTTTCACTTTTGTAAAATCACCATGTTTTTTAAGTTAATAAGATAGTGTGGCAAATAATTTCGGATTCTTGGTAGCATTGCCATTGAGCATCACCTAGTTTATGCCTTGGGCTTATTCTTATACAGGATTCCGCACAAAGAAGCAGATGCCTTGCTGATAAAAGCAGAGAAAGAGGTAGCTGATGCATTTGAAGCTGCAACAGCTAAAGGAGTGACCATGTATGACACCCCTGATCGCCCTTTGAAACGATTTGAAATAGAGATATCCTCTGCTAATGGAAAAGGCTCTACCACTCACGCAGTAAGAGCGTCATTTGAAACAGCTTTTGAAGTGGACAAACAAGTTGCAGCGGCTGTTAAAACTGCGTTCGTCAGACTAGCACATTGCAGTTCCTTCAACAAAGATGAATTTAAGGACTTGTTGAGGAAAATAAGTGAAAATCCTGACAATCAGGACCTTTCAGAGTCTGATAACTGTTTGGAGCTCAAAACACCATCTCGTGATGATGGCTCTAACTCCCAAAGGAGAAGTAGGAAGAAGCTAAGTCCTCAGAAATTCAATGGCACAAAACTTGTCAAAATGATGCTTGAAAGGCTAAAATGTCTGAAAGAAGAGGAGTTGGCTTCTCTTGCCACAATTGTTGCAACTTGTGGTCTAAATGCGGCTTTGGCTGATAGATTGCAGGACAAAAATTCTGCCACTGATGTGAATTACTTAATGAATAAAGTTGCAAAGCAAAAACCAGCAGAGCCAGAGTTGCCTAGTTTAGACAAGTTCTTGGTCAAGAAAATGACAAAGCTCGAGAAGGAAGTGCAAGAAGCTAAGAACGCTAGAAAATCTGAGTCTAAAAGAGATGGTGATGGAAATCTCAACAATCCTCATCTTTGGAATGGCAATATAAATGATAAACGAGACGCTGTTGACAGTGTTCCTGACCTGGGAAGTGTACTGATAAAGAAACCATCGAAACTTGAGAAAGAGATCGAAGAAGCAAAGAGAAATCAGAAGTTATCCGACACTGATGGGCTTAAAACAGGAAGGACTTTGAAAGATGGAAAATTCAGGCAACTTAAACAAGAAGCTGCAGAAGTTCCAAGCTTGGATCAATGTTTGGTCAAGCATGTATCGAGACTTGAAAAGGAGGTTCAGGAGGCCAAAAAATGGAGACAGAATGATTTCCATGTTACTGTAGGAGGGAATTCGAGTATGTCAACTGTCCAGGAGGAGAGTCGGAAAGAGAATGTTAACTTGAATACGGAAAGGTACAAAAAACAGCAAGGAAAACCCAATGAAGAAGAGATTGAGAGTTTGGATAAAGTTCTAGTAAAACATGTGTCCAAATTAGAGAAGGCAAAGATGGAGGACTCTTCCAAAGAAGTGATCGAAGTGAAGAAGAGGGACACTGCACCAAATATGGACACAAATGTTGGTGGCTTGGACCAAATTTTTATCAAACACAAGTCAAGGCTTGAAAGAGAAAAGACTGCTGCTTCAGAACAAGCGGAAGATAGGTACACATATTCAAAGTCTCGACGTGAAGCAAGGGAAAGAGAGTTGCTAGACACATGGGGAGGCATTGGCTTGGGCAATTCAATGCGGCCACACCAATCAAGACTTGAACGAGACAAGGCAAGTGTTCTTGCTCCTAACTGACAGCTTTACTGACCTTATTAAAATTTACTTGAACTAATTCTATAATGTTGGCTGTTTTAGGCTGCTTGGCTTAAAGCTGAAGAGGAGGAGAAGCGAGTGGCACTGGCATGAGCAGTAAGCATGAGCTGCCACAATATTATTCGTTATGTTGGCTGATTACTATTTCTTTTCCTATATAGTTTGTACAAAAGCCACCTTACTGGTTAGTGATCATTTCATCACGAAACTGGTGCATCTGTTAAATGTTAAACATGACATATCATCTTAGATATATTGGAAGCTGTGTATGAGTGAATGTTTGCAATTAAGCTCATGAGTCATGAGTCAAACAGCCGTCTTTGCTAATTTTTATTACAAGATTTTGTCAGTGCTATTTAGCTACAATGAATTGAATCAAAGCAATCTCTTAGTTTAATGATTTGTAGCAGATGGAGCACACAATAAATCCATAATCTCTAACCCGAAGGCTGTGTAGCCCCATGCCCCAGTCAAACAGCCGTCTTTGCTAATTTTTATTACAAGATTTTGTCAGTGCTATTTAGCTACAATGAATTGAATCAAAGCAATCTCTTAGTTTAATGATTTGTAGCAGATGGAGCACACAATAAATCCATAATCTCTAACCCGAAGGCTGTGTAGCCCCATGCCCCCATCCATTATCGTGTCAACAAAATGTCTGTGAACAAATGTGATTGAGTTCAAAATCAACCACAGCAATCAACAACAGATAGAGTATATCACATTAAAACTATCTGCTACATTAAAATATGAGTGTTAATTTAGCAGTCGTAAATTCCCTAAACTGCCCATGAGAGGTTTAGATGAATTTAGGGTGCTTAAATTAAAGATGCATCTCTTTTTGCCTGATGAAAAGGAGATACTATATGAATATGATGAATATGATTCACATACTATCTCCGTCCAAGTCACAGTTAGGGACAGCGGCAACAGGTAGAGTCCGGTCATACCCTTACTTGGACTTCCCTCCACCCCCCCCCCCCCTCTCTTTTTGGTATAATCTTACCTTGTTAGATTCGACATTATCCATGAGTCTTAACATATATGTGTATGTAATGTGTAAATTAGCTAAAGCATGATGGACTAGAGCTGTTCAATGAGTCCGTATAAAATTTGCATGATATTCATCATGTTATTTATAGGTATATGGATGATTCTTAAAAGGAACATTGGCAAGTAGATAAGTAATGAAGAGGGTTTTTTTTTGTTACTCATACTTCATGGACATGTTATTGGTCACGTTTATGGAGGTGATGAACATAGTTTCATAACAGGGTTATTCAGATTTTGATCAAGTTAAAGGTGTTACATATGAATTATGATCGCTTCTTTTTCACTCTTATCTATAATGAAAGGACTATATTGTATGCATGTTATAGTTTAAGTGCATTATATTTAACCAAGAATGAAGTTCAACATGAAGGGATTATGCAAATTGGTATGTGCCTCATATCTGAAGAAGTAAGACACTAATTAAAAGGTGGACAAAGAGGGTGTTGTTGATAATCTTGTTGACATGTTCTCCACTCTGTAGGCAAATTGATAATTGTTAAAAGTTGTAAATTGCCATCAGGGGTAAATCTTAGGGAAGCGTTTTCGTACATCTGTTTTTAGGGTACAAAAATATGCAATTTTCGTACCAAAATTATATAGTGTGATATTTGACCAAAACCTCAAATGGTGTACCATAAAAGTGGGTGGAAATGGTAGGAGGAGGGATAGATTGTTTCGCCGGTGCGGGGAGGGGTTTTGGGCGCTAGCTGGGCTCCAAAGGGTGGGAAAGGAGGTGTTTTTTGAGTAGAGTGATGGGTTTTAGGGTTGAGGGAAGGTGGTTCTTGGAAGGAGAGGGGTGATGACAGCATTGGATAAGGGAAAGGAGGGTGGTTGTCGGCAACAAAGAGTGTGTTGGTCGACGATGGGGGTGGGGGGGCCAAGAGCAGACCCGGCCCTTAGGGTGTGCAGGGTGAGCAACTGCACAGGGCCCAAAAGTTACTAGGGCCTCATATGAATTTAAGAATATAAGAAATAAGCTAGCATTATTATTGAGAATCTCTGTAGGTAGCTCAATGGTCTGGAGAATATTTACAAGTGGTTTAAGGTTCGATGATTGTTGTGAGCTTCACTGGGAGTGGTGGTCAGTGGGGAAGGTGGCTAGGTTTGGGGTTTTTTGTGAAAGTCATTAGTATATGGTTGATTTAAAAATTTTCATGGGTATATATTGAATAAATAAATTACTCAGGGGTATATTGTGAAAAATCCGTAGTTTAAAGTTTAATACCTTGGTCGTTGGTGGCTCGGTCGAAGGGGGGTGCTACTAAGGTAGTCCAGACCGGACTTGGTTGAAGGCCTTGAAGCTGTAAGTTAAGTAGTGGTGTCGTGGTGGCTAGTTACCTGGTGGGCAATTTCATGTCACGCTGTCACCGAAGATTGGTCGTCACTCCCATCACCCCCTCAAAGAGAGTTGGAAAGATGTGAGGGAAGGGGTTAAACAATTAATAAGGGATATAGGGTTTCTCAGTTTGGTTTCAGACTTTCAGCAAGTTTCTAAGAAACAGAAAGAGAAAGGCGAGTGGGTGTTGTGCATTTTGTTTTGTTTTGTATTTTTTTTAATTAAACTTTATTTTTATTTTTTTTTACTAGTGGCTCACGTGCACTGTGCGTCTGTGCACCAATATATATCTGCCAAAAAAAATATATACTGTATAAGAAAGATAAAAAGTAAATAATTTTATTTTGAGTATATGTGTATTTTATATGGGAAATGTAAAAAGTTGTACTCCCTTTGTAAATAAAGGAAAATTTAACAATAATAATCCAACATTGCCTCGTTCTCTCGATATAATCAAACCTTTCATTTAACCTAGAATAATCCTATATTTACTATTTATTTTCTCCTAACAACCTTATCATGTCACCTTACCATTTACAACCAGTTACAATCCACGTGGCACTTTTTAATTGGTCAATTGATATTTTTATTCAAAAATAACACGGAGTAGTTTTAAATTGGAAAAAAATATATATATATCTCTATGCTCCCCCTTGGCCCTTGCTGCCTGTTTCTCTCTCCTCTCCCTTCCTCCGTTATGGCATTATCACCACCAAAACAACTCAACACAATCCACGGGACCACCACCTACAACCACTTCAACAACACCAACATCACCATTACCGCAAACAACACCCACAACATCAACTATAACCCACAACACAACCAAAAATTATAACATCCACAACATCAATGACGTTTTCCTTTTGAGGTCGTGTTTAAATAAATAAAACATTCATTTTAATAACTTTGTTTATATTTTAATAATATTCTCTCTACTTTTTAAAAATATTCTATTAACTATAATGGTCCTCACAAAACCCTTACTTTCTGCTCTCTCCTCAAACTTATACTCCACTACCTATTATTTTAATAAATTCAACTAACTTTCCTAAACCTCCGTAAAAGTCAAAACGTTTCATTTTTTGAAACAAAGAGGGAGTTTGAATTATGTGATATTTTTAAATGAGGTATAATATTCTGGCCTTTTAGGACACTCAAAATGAAAAACATGCATGTAAATAAGGGATGGAGGGAGTAAGAAAATTCTGGAGTATAATACGAGTAGCTACTTATTTTGTTCTCCGATCCATTACTTATATAACAATAAATCATGCCATTCAGGATAATATCCTTTTAGTCCATGAAATTCTACATCTTTTTAATAAATCCAAAAGTAAGAAAGGTTGGCTAGCCCATAGACCTGATATGGAAAAGTCTTATGATGGTATGGAATGGAACTTTTTATGGACTACTCTTACTGTTTTTGGCTTTTTGGCCCACTTGGGTTAAATGGAGTAAATTAAAGCTTGTGTCACAACAATTTCTTACTCTCCTGCTGTTAACTATACGACTACTTATCTCATTAAGCTCTCTCGCAGCTTACGCCAAAGCTATCCACTTTTTCCTACTCTTTTCGTTATCTGTATGGAAGTACTATCTAAGAAGTTGTGATTACTTAGAAAACAACAAAATTTAGGTATAGGGATAAAAATTGCTACGACGACTCCTCTTATTCCTTGTCTTCTTTTTGCTGATGATAGTTTACTATTTTGTAGAGCATTTGTTGTCTCCTGCAATTCTCTACGTACTACTTTATCATAATTTGCCTCTCTTTCGAGACAACTAACAAATTTCCACAAGTCCTCTATTATTTTCTCCAAGTATGTCACTAATCAATCTAAAGCATCCTTAGCTAGCTATTTTAATATAAGCCCGAGATCTTTCTTGGGCCGTTATCTTGGGGTCTTTTTTAGTTCTACGACTTATACCAAAGTTAATTTTCAGCATCTAATTTGTAAAGCTGATCAGAAAATGAATACTTGGTCTTCTAATTTAGTTTTAAAGCAGAAAAGGTTATTCTTGTCCAAAGTTAATTGGTGGTTATTCCATCTTACGCTATGTCTAAAGCTAGGTTACCTGTTTCCTTCACCTCTTCACTGATCTTTTGGAAGCAATCTTCGGCTAAATCGAGATTACCAATGGTTTCCTGGGATACTAATTGTCAACCCAAGAGTCAGGGTGGTCTGGGGTTTCGAAAATCTGATATTGTCATCACTCCGTTCATAACTTAATTAAGATGGAAGTTTATGTCCTACCGTGCTAAATACCTTCGTCATTCCCACTTCCTTAATTACGTATCTCCCTCATTTGACGGATTCATGGTTTTGGAAAAAAATCCTTCAGCTTTGTCCTCTCTTAATTAGAGTCATGGAAATTGGATATCCCTCCTAAGATTATGATTTTTTAATGGCAAATCTTCCATAATAAGCCTTCCTACTAGACACAATCTAGCCTTAAAAATATTGATATTCCTTCCCTTTGTGCTTTTTGTGATGCTCACCCTGAATCTCAACAACATTTATTCCTTCATTGCCCTTTTGCTTCTGTACTATGGTCTTCTTCAATTCGTTGGTGCGTTATTAGATTGGGGATCTTTCCCCCTCTTTTCAACTCCTAGATTTTATTTGTACAATCAAATTTCACTCTTCCCACCTTCTCCCTAAGGTTGAATTCTTTTTGTTGTATTAGGCGGAAATGTTGTAATGTAGTTATCTTTAGTAACTCTACTCATCGCCCATCATAATTGTTGTCAATGTTCGTGCTTTCTCTCTTATTAAGGAATGGCAAGCTCGTCCTTTTTTAGACTCTATACACCGACCCGATGATTTGTCCCATCTTAGCCTCCGACTCTATAACCTCTTTCATATTTTCATTGAAGGAAATTATTGGATATTTAGAGTCATCTACTTGCTTTAAAAACTAAATAAATAAATAATTACTAAAAAAGCTACTCAACTGAGAAGTGATAGAGAATATTCATAAAATATTCTCATCATAGGTTTAACATATATTTTATATAAGATTATATTTGATATATTTACATATCTTATAATTACCTATTATGATTAGGTTTCTCATTGTAACCTTATAAATACTGATCAATGGAAATCACTCTAATCAAGAAGTTTATATTATCTTATATGGTATCACATCTTAGGTTAGATCTTGGGATTCACAAAGAATTATACAAAACACGTTTTTTTTTTTTTTTTTTTTTGCTTCCGCGATTTAATTATGGAGTACGATGGTTGACCAGTCGAGCAGCCTCTCTTGTGCTCCGACTTCCCTCCACACACAAAAGATTTGTCCACCTCGATCTACCTCTTGGTTCTCCACCTGATACACCACCTTGCTCACTCATAGTCCTCATTCTTTAGCCTAATTTGTGACTGAATTGCAAGCTTGCATAACGTATTGCCATCTCCAATGACTTATAGTAGTCTTGGTTGAAACAGACTCATGAACCAATAATGCACCCTTTTGTTAGTCTTTTTCTCGATTTCGTTGTTGGCAGGATCTTCCTCAGCAACAACACCACCAACAACAAATTAAAGTCGCCCTCCACACCTTAATTAGTTTTCGTCCCTCTCACTCCGAACCCCCTTCCCCAGTGGAGGTCATATTCTTGGTTGGAGCTGAGCCTTATTCAACTACAGTACAACAACTTAAAGAGAAGGTGTTGGATTTTTTTATTTTTATTTTTTTAGTTTTTATTTTGCACTATCAACAATTTTTTTGAAAAAAAAAATTATTTTATTTGCCACAACTTTGGTTATTTTTGATGGGATTTATCTCATTGTGTGGTCATTTTTGTAGAGGTAGATGGTGAGAATTTAGTATATTCCTAAGCAATTTTATTTGCTTATTCAATTGTGATTTTCTGCAGCATTAGTGCTCTCTCATTCGACGGTGGTCCGATCCTCTCCTTTTCTCTGGATTTGCAATATTACCTAAACTCGCAACCCGTGCGCGGCCCTTCAACCTCTACTTGGCCAAGCAGTACTCTTTTCTCTTATGCGTAGATTGTGGCTATTGCTTCTCCTCGTCATCATCGGCACTCTTTGGCTGCTTCTCTTTTGATTGTGGGTTACCATTATATCCTTTACTTTTCGATGCAAGTTTCAGATTCAGTCTGAGTATCCGATTTTTTTCCCCGTTCCTTTTGTGGGAGTGTGATAGAGAATATCCATAAAATATTCCCTCATCATAGATTTAGGATATATATAAGATTATCTTAATGAGTTTATATTATCTAATATGGTATCATGGCTTAGGTTAGATCTTAGGATTGTTTATATCTAAAATTTTCTCTTCCCCTGCCGGTGGGTTAGAAAATTAAACTCATCGGCGGGATTCACAAATAATTATACAAATCACATTAAACCTATGATAGAGAATATTTTTTATGGATATTCTCTATCAAGAAGTAAAAACATTATTTGAGTGATTATTATTTGTAAGAATTTTATACAGGACAAAAATATTAGCCAAACAAGTACTAAACTTATGATGATAATTTGTGTGTGCGTTTGATTCTATTTTTACATTGACTATAATTTAACAATCATTATGTACAAAGATACAAGAAAACCTAATCCAGCTAAACAGCTCATCTTAATTTCCATTTTTGGCCATTTTTTGTTTTAATGCTGCAATTGCTAAAATAAAATGCATCTTTGCAGCTCTTAATTTAATCATCCCAATGTAGTGACATACTTTTATTCGATATTGTTTGAGACAATAATAACGATAATATTGGGAACGCTGAAGTCAGTTTTGGGAATAATACACCAAAGTTGAGTTGTATGTTTACTGTGTTACATTTTATATTCAATTTATAATTAGTCTTAGAAAAATGATACTATAGTTAAGGGTTTTGCTAAATACGGAGTATGAAAATAATAAGCAAGGTAAAGTTGTGTCATGCATTTTAAATTAATGCTAACTAGTCTATTAAAGTAAAATCGGGTTACAATTGATTTTTTTTGAGGAAAAAAAGGGAAGAATGGAGATCATAACAATGGAGATAGATATCAATGTAAAGGTCTAGTTAAGGTATACCGTAGCTTATATATTAACACACATCTAATAAAGAGATAAAGAGATAATTTGTTTCCTGGAGGATCAACACATGTCTAATAATTGCCTCGAGAAAAACATTTATTTCGACTTTTTAGTTACAATATTTTTCTTTCTAGTAAGCATTTTAGTTGTTTTGAAATACAAGAGTTGTAATCTTGATTCATGGTGTGACCACTTTTTCTAATTTGTCTCTCTATCACTCTCTTTATCACATGGGTGTCCTAAAATGCCGCGCACGGCGCCAAAGACACAAAAGAGATGAAATATACAAATAATGAATGTATGTACATGTACACCATATTAGATTCCCAAGCTGATGAGAGACAAAGCATGCTCTGCGTTAGTCTGTAAAGTGTGTTGTAACTTCTATGTTGTCTCTTGCCGCACGAAGATTATATGCTCCATAAATCTATACCACTTCGTATATCTATACTGTTAGAGTGGAGAATTTGAGTTGTTCAAAAGAAATTCTTTTAAAAAATAAAGTTTTAAGTGTAATCAACCATTTAACATATAGACTACATTTTTATGCATTAAATAAATAAATAAATAACATTCAAGACAAAACTAATACGGAATTCTTTGGAAAAAAAAAAAAAACTAATACAGAGTAGTAGGTTTAAACGAAATACTATATTAAATGAGTCATTTAATTTTCAAATCACTAATTATACTTGAAAAAATTATTACAAGCAATAAATCTCACCATATATCGTATAATTTGGAAACTTTTTATTTTTAAGATAGCACCAATAGGCAATAATACAAGACTCACACCGTTTTTAAAAAATAAAAAATCTTAACATTTGTTTTTCAGATGTATATAATGGTTAAACAAATTATATTAAAAATATTAATGGACAAAAATGTTTAAACTCGCTTTTAAGCATTTGATAAGGAATTAGACCTTTCCTTCTTCCGAGTCTTGAAATATACCTAACTTAAGCACATTTCTAATTTCTAATTAAATCCAATGACTTTTCAAAACATTGACAACTTATTTTTAGTAGTTGATTTATTTTTATTTACTTCGTACTGGTACATAATAACAAGAAAAATATATGACATTGAGAGTTACGATTCAGATTATAATTTTTTTTTTCCATATAAAAACGTTATAATATATACATTATACAGGAAATATTCTTACATGAAAATGAAAATAATATTCTAACTAAGAAAATTAAAATCTTTCCCAAATATCAGCTACTTATTTTGAACTTGCAATTCTCTTTCTAATAAAAAATCAGTCTTTTCGTCTTGCATGTTAGAATGGCTTCACGGTGAAGCTCACAATTTTTTCCTATGAAATATACGGCCCAGATTATTGGATACCCAAACAATATAAGTTAACATCAAAATATTAACATCAATATTTAATTTTAAATTTGGATTAATAAAGATTTGCTAGAAATTAATTTTATTCTAACAAATTAATTCGTCGATTTTGCTACATAATTAGAAGAAAAATATGAATAATTATGATACGTAAATATTATATTTCTAAATAATTCCGTTTAGATCTGCCATTGATATAGTTTTTATTACACAAAATACACCGTTTTAAAAAAGTTTTACTGTAAAAATTACAAGTAAATACATAATTTAAATCAAAGTTAAGCAAATTTAACCTCAATAATACAATTAGAGTAAAATATCACCTTTTATAATTTTGAATTAAGCAAGTTTTGGCAGCTCATCATTCAACAAAATCTTTTCCAACCTGTTGACGGACCAAAAAATAGAGTTAATTTCCCAGAAGAATAGTTAGGAAATCAAATCATATAAAAAAATATATATACTAGTTGTAATAAAATCAAGATTATATCAAAAATAATTAGAATAATAAACGAATAAAAATGAGCAAGTCAATTAATTAAAATGGAATGTAAAATTAAAAGGAGTATGCTTGGCTCCTCTTACGCCATCCATGGAGGCCATCGATAATCCGATGGACTCTGTGTATGGCATACAGGGAGCCAGGCATAGGCGTAAATGAATATTGACATCCTACAAATATGTAATTTTTCATCGCTAAATATCTCTAAACCGGCATATACAAGTATATATGCGCAACGAAACAATTGTTGTTTGGATTGTTTCGCATAAACTAAACATCTATACATGAAGTGATGTGATAAAATTTGGAGTATAGTATATGATAGTAAGAAAGAGGGAGAGGGGAAAAAAAGGGTTGGAATATGAGAAATAGTAGGGAATTAAGGTTGAGAAGGAGAAAGAGGGGAAAATTAAGGTGATAGGGTTTGTTTGGTAGGGTGGTATTTGAAGTAGAAGGAAAAGGAGAAATCTATGAGAAAGGGAAATTAGAGAAATGAGAGACAATCCCACGCTCCTCCCCCACCTAATCAATATATATATCCCTACTATTCTTTCTTTCCTTATGTGTTACTATTATTAAATTAATTTTAAATTTATATCTTCGTCATCATATTGTGGTCTCATCAACTAATTAACTATATTAAACATAGAGTTAAATACGGGTAGTAATCATTGAAAATTACGAGTATTTATTATTATCAGTAAAATGATAACTTTAATTGATAAAAATCTATCGTTAAATCTATTTCTACAAGTCTATAACTAAAAAAACAAAGGTCGATAGTCTTTTAATGATATCGGTTACTAAAATTATGTTTAAGAGATATTTTATGGGAATTACACCTCAATTATATAGGGTATCTCAAGTTTTAGGTAGTTTAAGATACTTTTCCTTATTTGAAAGGATATGATTGATGTTAGTTTTTGCACAATGTGTTTAGCCAATGAGTTTGTATATGTTCATAATCGATATTTATACCAATAATGTATATGAACTTTTTAATACTCGGTACTCCATAACTTTAATTACCGATACAATTTTATATAGGAGTATTATTATAATGTATTCATATGAAATTCATTCTAAACTTATCATCCAACCCTCTACTTTTAACACCTTACACCCTTACTATTCTTTCCTTATGTTTTACTATAATTTTAGTATTATTATATGAATTTTAATATTACATCTTTCATTATCAATTCATCGTCTCTTGAACTTTTTTATTTTAAAATTATATCAAATTTAGTTATATATAATAAGTAAAATGACTTTACATGGGAATAATTTATAAATTGTTAAATATATCACCCTAGCTAAATATAAAACATCTGAATCAATAATAAAAATAATAATAAAGAAAAAGGCGCGAGTTGGTTTATATATTCAAACTAGTTTAGGACCCGTGCCATGCACGGTCTATTAAAAAAAATTTAAAAATTGACAAAACATACACATAATATAAAGCGTGAACAAACAAACAATTGACGTAATATAATGTTGCAATGACCACTTTATTATTGTTAATAATAAAGTATTTGTCAAGAAAAAATCATTAAAAAAATAAATTAAAATACAAAAAAATAGAGATTTAATGTTTGAATTGCACATCATGTGTTATCATTTGCGTTGCCTTTTATTTTTATCATCTCCGGTAGTTGTTCTAGAAACTTGAACAATTATTATTTAATCGAGGAAGATAACAATTGAATGAGGTCGTCCTTCTACATACAATCACTGCATAAAAAGGGTAAGGATCAGTATATCTTATGTAAAATTAATAAAATAATGATAAAATATATGATTGAGAAATTTATTAAAAAATGATATGTCAAGATTATATAAAATATATGTATTCTTGCATTGTTTGTAAGTAATTGAACAATTTTTGGGTGTCTCTATAGAAATGTTGAAATGCTTTAGAATAAAATACACATATATATCATATATGTATCAAGGGAATGAAAATATTCTAAATTAATGAGACATAAATACTTTTACACTTCTAAAGATACCAAATAATTTCATGATCTATATGCACGCATCACGCATCACTTTTAAGGGAATAAATATTCATTGTTAAAGATAATAATGATATATGATTCTTTCAAAAAAAAATATAATTATGATATATAATAAAATCATAGTAAAAATATCTCCATGATATTATTATTGTATAATAAATTTTCCTTATTTAAGTTGACCATGAAATAAGTAAGGAAGTAAATTTAAGAAATAAATAAAGTAAACTTTAAATTTACACAAAGATAAATTACGTACCTCATTATGCAAATTTTGAAACACCTCTTTGTATACTACATTGTGTGTAGTATGATATATTTTTCCTTCTTTGTCACACATATTAAAACTTTTAGTCCACTCTTCTTTGTGACTCTTGAAACCGCAACATATAGTTGACCATGACTAAATACTGGTCTTGGGAGATATAGGCCAACATGGGAAAGAGATTGACCCTGACTTTTGTTAATAGTCATTGCAAAACAAACAACTAATGGATATTGCCTTTGTTGAAATTTAAAAGGTAATTAAATTTAGATAAAAAAAAACAATAAATTAAAAAAAAAACATAATTATTGAAACTCCGCAAGATGCTAGCACAACTTATACATATATAAAAAATGATGACAAACATTAGATTACATACTTATTCATCTAGTAAAACCATCCCTAGAGAATGTACATCGTTTGCATTATTAAAAGATGGAATAGTCCATAAGCAGATAACCCTAGCCTGTATAGTAATATTTTCATTCGCCGGATTGATATTTTGTATAAGCTTTAAAGTTTGTTCTATTAGAAAAAATAACGTTTAAAGTTATTTAGTGCTTGTGATTCAAAATTCGACGGATTGATTATAAGCTTTTTTATAATGGCCTGTTAGGTAAGATGTTTTTGGAAAATTTGGGATAAAAATAAAAAGGTAAAGAGAATTAGAGGATATTGCATGATTTAATCATATAAGGAATGAATATCAACCATATGTAATACCAAGTATATATTATAGTGAGAATATAGTCATGATTAGCTAAGATGTTTTTTAAGGGAATATTACATATCAACAATGGTTTAGGATTTGCTAAGAATATTATTATTTTTTAATCATATTATTTTAAATTCTTACCATTGTTGATATAGTCATGATTTGCTAAGAATTACATATCAATTGTAATACCTAGTATATATTATATGAATATAATTAGCTAAGAATTTTATTTTTTTAAGGGAAGATTGCATATCAATTAACAATAATAATATAATTTGCTAAGATTTGTATTTTTTAAAGGGAAGTTTGCAAATCAACCTTAATATATATGAGTAGCTTGGATTTTGTTTTTTTAAGGGAAGATTAATATCAACCGTAGTATATATGTTAGGATACTTATAATAAGATTTATTTGGTGATTATTTAAATATATTGTATCCTTTTAATATATTTTTTTTCAGATTACCGTAAGATTATATTTATTATTGATTATTATTTACATATATATATATATGAAAAATATCTCCTTTTTGGAATTATATTTTTTTAAAAAAAAAATTTTAAAAAATAAAAATATACTAAGGACACACCAGGAGATGACACGTGTCATTGCTGGTGTGTCTTTTAGTATATAGTTATTGATTGATGGTGAAGGAAAGGAGGACATGTGCTATGTATAGTTTGTGTTTTCATGTAAATATAAGTACAGAGGAAATAAATTAATTAATTTAATTCAAGGTCTCCATTATTCAACATAAAGCGGTTGTTATTTATGCACTATTTGATTAAAATTTAAATTTTTTTTATTTTTTATGAATCACGTGTCAACATTTCTATATTTGTTTTAGTGTGTAGCTTTTTTTTTAATTATCTTAAAAATATCTTAACTTATATAGGAGATATGTATATTATGGCTAAGATGATATAAAATTTTATATTCTTTCCATTTTTAAAAAATGCAAGAGGCGTTGATTTAATGTATATTGAAAACTGTACAATGTTCATTTTATTTTTTACTAACTTTAATTTAACAAAATCAATTTTGATTTGGTAAATACATTATGAATCTTGTGTAATCAATGTTTAAATAATAAATTTCATATAAAATGAAAATAAAAAGAAAAAAAAAAACAAAATGGTATTTTGGAGGGAAAACACAGCACCAGAAAGTTTCATGTGTCACGCACGAGTTTAACAAAATATTATAATGAATTGTATATAATGTTAATTCAAAATCTACAAAAAAAAATAAAATAATCCTCATATTTTTAAAATGAAATTGAAATGGTTTGAGTCTTAATTTATACTCAGAATTGAGCCTCAATCCAAATTATACCAAAGGTAGAACACCAAAAAACAAAGTAAAAGATGTAGAAAATTATTTTTATACAATAAAAATATGATAAATAATTGAATCACAATTATATAAAGACATAACTATTTATTGTTTAGGAAGTGAATTAAAAAAAAAACAAAGAAAAGAGTTTTGGAGGGAAAAAAACAACACCAAGAAGTGACACGTGTCTTTTTGGTGTCTGTTTTAGTATTATGTTATGAATATTGATTGATGATTAAGTTCAGCATATATCTTAAGAGAATAAAACCTCAATTACACATAACAACTCATTTTAGGCAGTATAAAATACTTTTCTTAATATAAAACGCTAACGGTGTGTTTGGATTGAAGGAAAGGAAAGGGAAGGAAAATGAAGAGATGAAATATCTTTCATTTGGATAACAAATGAGGAAGGAAAGGAATTGGAGGGGAGAGAAATGGAGGGATTAAATTGCAATAAATTTATCCCTCCAACAAGGGAGAGATTTGGAAGGAAAACTCACCATTTTTCCTTCCCCTTCCTCCCCCCCCCCCCCCTCCTCTTCTCCTCCCTCCCCTTCTTTTCCTTCCCCTTTATTTATCCAAACACAGTGTAAATAATGTTACTCGTAGTTATTACATGACATCTTTATAAAATGATTTTATGTATTTTCACGGTGATTTATAGCAAAAGTATATAACTTTTAATAACTTCTATTAACGATACAAATATATGTCATATTATTACGGAGTACTTATTAATATACTTGTAGTAATTAACTAGGTTAAACCCCCGTGCAAATGCACGGTTGTTGAATAATTATGATAATAATATAATTATATAAAAATTAATGAATCGATTCACCAGGTATTAAAGTGTATGAAATATATTAAAACAATTAAAACATGTGAGAGAAAATATTTATAGTTATAATGTGCAAGTTGATATTTTAGGAAGTTTATTTAGATTTTATACAAAAAAAAAGGTCATAATCTAAATGCAATCTTTCTTTTTATATAATAACGATTTTATTTAGAAAGTAATTTTGGCGGTAATTTTTTTAATAATATGTTGCCAAGTGTTCCTACAGATTCGCTTTTAGTAGTATGTAATTGATTGATATATGACATAGATATTAGATTATTAATCAATGTCAAATATTAGATTACTAGGT